TAAAAGCATCTTATATTCACTGCTGGTGGTCCTGTCCGGTCATCAACAATTTCTGGCTTCTTATTATTCAAAAGATTAAGGTATTAACGGGCGTTGTAGTTCCACCCGATCCTTTGTTGTTATTGTTAAATTTGTGGCCTGCTGACTCACCCCTTGTACCCTCCTTGAAGATGATTGGTACGCTACTCACAGCGGCCAAAATAGTTATTGCCAAGAATTGGAAAGAACCCAATCCTCCGAGTATACAACATTGGGTGCATAAGGTTTGGGACCTATTTTTACTAGAGAATTTTAATACGTTTTACACAGAAACTCAAACGGAATGCGACTTGATGAGTCCAATGCATGCTTGGTATCCTTTATTAGATAGACTCAATATAGGTGGGTTCGACTGGGAAGAAATTTGCAATGTTAAATACAAGATGTTACTATTTAACTGAATCAAACGTTATGAAGTCTATACACGGTTCTATAGGGCACTATTATTGTAGTGAAAGTTGTAAATGGTACAACCTGTTTCGCTTTTATTCTGACTTTTCTATAAGAGTAGTCAGTGGTCTATAGTCATCCCACCTAATTTATCCTTTAAGATTTGCCTATCAACAGAGTCAAAAGCCTTTTGGAGATCGATAAAGGCAGCATAAAGTTTGCCTCTAGGGAAACGGAGATATTTCTCTGCTAAATAAGATAGTACTGTGCAGTGATCAAGAGTAGAGTGATTAGTTACAAAACCAATCTGCTCTCTTCCGGGAAGGTTGCAAGATGTCATCCAGTTCAGTAGTTTCGAAAGAAGGTGTTTAGCATAGAGTTTCCCCAGGATAGACAATAAGTTAATAGGTCTATAGTTCTCAGTGTTGTTGGGGTTTCCTTTTTAAAAAATTGGGACAATTATGGAGTTCAGCCAAATGTCAGGTAAAATTCCAAATTTATCAATGAGCATAAATAAGTGGGCAAGAGCTTGTGACCACCGATCAATATCACTCTTAAAAAGTTCAGTAGGCAGGCCATCAGGTCCTGGGGCTTTGCCAGATTTAAAAGAGTTAATGAGATCAAAAACTTCAGATGGATGACCACCTGTTTTAGTGACCAAGGAATGGCACACGAGTCAGTGATTGATTTATGATTTACAGATCCTTCACATATCCCAGGATCTTGTCAGTATTCAATGTGGTAACTGGATCAAATGTACTGGTCATTTCTAGCTGATTACAACCAACTAATCATCAGTTCCTGAAAATTTAAAGGCTCAGACTCTGGAGTCAACAAGTGTCAAAATACACTAAAATCTTTTAATTTTGCATTTGCCCACATCAACTAGTATTCTGTTTAAAGGTTTAAGGATTCGTAGAAACGATGCATATCAATGCCTCATTCTATGTGTACAAGTCCACTTTGATTTGGAATTTTGTTCATTGTTAGATGATCCATATTCAGTTGCTGATTCCAGCAGTTCGTTCCATATCTCAGCCACACTTTTATGTAAAGAAACAATAAAAGTTAGGAACCTGAAAACCAGATTTTCCCTGAGCAATCAATATTCACATTCACACAGATGAAAAACATGTTGTAAATGCATTGCATTTGCATTAAAAGAAGATATTTGCTAGGGGGTCACAACTTTTAAATGATCTTGGCACTTACTAAGGCGGTTATGCTTGAATATAAGACTGCCGAGCAACTGATGATGTAGCAGAAGTGCTAGATGTAGAATAGATGAATATGATACTGATGGAAAACCTTCTGTAGTTTGAAAGCTTGCAGAACATACTTGTATAACTAGAGTTGTTCTATAGAAATGTATCATTTTAACTTATGTTGAGTGCCTCTTTTAGAATTCATGGTTATTTGATTTCATGTTAATTTATACTGAAGCTAATTCACAATGTAATCCATTAAAATAGCTAACAGACTGGCTTCTTGACTTATTGGCAGAATATTGCTCAAAAGGATTTCCCATCTAATTATTTCACAGTGCAGGGCTTAATTATACACCATCTTGCACAAGGAACCACATTTTATTTGATTTTTGTTTTGTTTTATTTGTGGATCCATGATACATGTTCAGAAACAGCACTATATTTGGGAAAGTTATTTACAACTTTTTACTCCCCCAAATACAAATCTTGGTTATTCACTACAATCATAATGTATGTGACCTATTACATCACTCACTCCTTGAAATTGTTGGGACAACATTAAATACCAAGTTAGAATAGAGGTGTGTGGTTGTATAAACTTCATGTGCCATTTTCTACCACAACACACAGATGGGCTTATTGTTGAAAATAATGTCCTAGTCCATTAGTTGGACGAAACTGGTAATGCATATATATTTGAAGAAACTGATGTATACAAAACACTTTTATACTTTTAGGCAACACTACAGGACTTGGATCAAAGGCGGCCACAGCTGGAGGAATTAATAACAGCAGCACAGAATCTGAAAAATAAAACTAGCAATCAAGAGGCTCGAACAGTCATTACTGATCGGAGTAAGTAGTGAATTTTCTGTGCCCAGCCTTTTCAACCTGTAAGAATATTGAATCAGCCTTTGTAATATATGGAACACTTTTGAACTATAATCTGGTAAAGAGTTAGGTGCACTTAAGGTTGTAGAAATCAGTGGGCTTAAATAATGTGAATTATAGCCATAAAGTATAGCTTTATCGACTCATGTGTTTTAAAGATCTGACTTTGTTACTAAAATAAATAGCACATATACTTTGGTGTAACATTTGGATTATTCTTATGTATACGATAATACACAAAACTTGATTAGATAAAGGAATTTTAAAAAACAGTTTAAGAGAATAAAGCTTTTGAAGCAAAGCACTTAAAGTCCTTTTTCTATAAAAGATGAAGTACATGTTTTTTCTTTGATTCTAAAATTTTTCCTTTTGGTATCATCAAGCTATTTTCATTAGTTCTCCATGTTGTTTCATTTGTTTTTTGTTTGTCCCCTATCTCTCTGTGTGCCTAGGTAACTTCCTTGAGCGTCTCAGTCCTTTAAAGGTGCTTTATGTGCTGCAATACAAACAGCAGTTGTTGTAACTATTAACAATGGAGCTATCACTGCTTTGCATGTAGGCCACTTATGCATAACAGGCTCTGAAAAATATAATACAATACTTTAAAAACAGGCTCAGTTGATATTCAAGGTTTCAGAGTACAAGGGAAATTGCTGAAGAATAACTAAAACGACACCTTTGGTAAGCCTACTGATTGCCTGGTGGTTGAATATTGCTAAACTTCAGTTGATGAACTGATGCTCCTTCTACATTTTAAATCTCATCATATATAGCATATCCTTGCATTTTATATTAGCTAATATGGGCTGCGGTCACATGGAGCATTAGCGACGCTGAATCGACGGAAGATAGGCGGACTTTCCGGGCGCGATCTCACTGCAACATCTGGGGAGCGTAGAGCTCCCGTGGCTCACCCGAGGCTTCCCGCCGAAGCCACGCAGTAAAAAACTAGTACCTCCGAGGTATTAGTTTCCGGGAACTGCACGGCAAGAGCAGGCGCCTGATCGCGCCCCCGCCAACTCCCGTGGCATCCGGTGCCCGCCGGGTTGTTCCCCCCCATGCCTCCGGAAGCGCCCAACAGCGCATGCTCACATAGACGCAAGGCGTCCTTGGGGTCGAGGGAGGACCACGGGGGGCTGCGATGGGGGTGAGCGGCAGCGGCCAGGCGGAGAGCGGGCCGCATGTCCTGGGGAGGGAGGGTGGGTGGGCAGCCTGCTGGTGGGGAGGGGGGATCTGGCGGGTTACTCCCCCCTCCCCTCCTTGTGTGTGGCCCACGGACCCTGCCTGGAGTGGGCTGTACACGGCCCTCCCAGAGGCAGTGGCTGGTTCCGTCCCCTTCCCATCATCCTGATGCTCTCGGTGGAGGTGCGGATACTCGTGTGATCAGCACCTCCACCATAACCATGCGATTTCGCTGGGACCTCGCCGGGACATCTGATCCCGCAGCCATGCGGTATTGTGCCCCAGGGCAAACAGCCACGCTTCCCCTCCGCAGTGTTCCTGCCCGTGTGACCGGGGCCATGGTTACTTTTTACTTTATGCAGATCATGTAGCTGCAGGCCCATACCCAGCAATTTTTGTTAGGGGGCAGTTTTTTTAATTATTAAGGGGCCAGTTTAGCACAGTGGAGAGCAGCCTATTATGAGTCTGTAGAAAACTGCCATAAAACAGGAGACAAGATATATTTAGGGACTGGCTCTCTGCAGGATCAGATGACATCTGCCACATTTGAAACATTAGAAATAAAAATGTCCCACTGGGAACTTTTTCTAGTCCAGGCGTCCACAATGTGGTGCCCATGGACTCCATGGTACCTGAAGGAAGGAAGAATCAGTGAAAATTACCTCCCACACAAACACCCAATTCTTATGGGAACAGAAATGTCTTTCCTTTAATGCTGTGGTCCCCAACTTTTAAAAAGCCTCTTTAGCATTCTGACTTTTAACCTACTGCTCCAGTGGTCTGCTCTTCTGCCTTTAACATCATCATGTGGTGCTTCAGCTGCCATGGGAATAAGCCATATTGCCTGAAATATACTGGGTTCAGACACGTAGAAGTGATTAGCTCATAGTTTATTAGTGATTCAGCAAGAGAAAAAAGACTGCCATCCCTGGCCGAAGCCAGGTATTTATGCCTGAAAAGGGTTACATCCGCAAACACCCCACTCCCAATGATAGGCTATTTACACTCTATTGTTTCCCAATTGGTTTACTCTAGGATCCTTGTCTCCCTACTGGTCCATTCTAGGATCCTAGCCATCTATTGTTATGCATCCCAAGCTCAGTCCTTTTGCAAGGGCAGTTCAGGCTCAATACATAACACCCCTCCTCCCATGGTTCAGAGCCTCTTCAGCTGACAAAGTCCTTTAAGTACGCTGGTCAGTGCCAATCACGGTTCAAGCGATGTGGTTCTGCTGATGGGGCTGTGGGTTCAGGAACCATGTCAGGGGCTGGCCCCACCACCGGACTGGGAGAGGGTGGTGGCGCCGGGACATTGTTAAGGCCACCCATGGTGCCTGCCGCTGGCATTCCACCAGTGGCCTCTGAAGGCTGTCCATTGGTTTCCAGCTGGGCACTGCCGGTGGGCGTGTTCTCCTCGGGCTCGGGCTCCTCTGGGCTTAGCAGCTCCTCATCACTGTCTTCTGGTATGGGTATCCCAGGTTCAGCTGGGAGGAGATGGCCGCGGAGCTAGTCTATGTGTCAGCGGAGCCTCTGGCCATCTTCTGTGGACACCTCATATGACAGAGGTCTGGTCACCCTTATAACCTTGGTGGGGACCCATGTTGGGCTGCTGGAGAAGTTGCGTGCATAGACGGGGCCGCCCGGGAAGAACCCGTGGGGAGTGGCTTAATTCTCTTGTTCCAGATCGGGTGCAATCGATCGAGATGGGTTGTGAGGCACCTTCCCATCAGGAGTTCCACGGGGCTGTGGCCGGTGGTTGTGTTCGGGGTTACCCACTGGCCAAAGAGGAAGTCTGCCAGCCAGTGGTCCCAGCTTCCCTGGACGATCCTGTGGAGGGACTAGTTGTCCTCACCATCCACTCAGCCTGACCATTGGTTGCGGGGTGGAAGGGAGCAGAGAGGATGTGTCAGATGGCATAGTAGTCCATGAATTCCCAAAACCCGGATGAGGTTGAAAGCTGTCCCGTTGTCTGTTATGACGGCATCTGGTATGCCATGTGTGCTGAAGATCCGCCATAGGGCGCGAATTGCTGCTCGAGACGATGTGGAGGGGACCGGCACCACTTCTAGCCATTTGGAGTATGAATCAACCAGGATGAAGAAAATCTGGCCCTGGAATGGGCCCGCAAAGTCGAGGTGCAGGCTATTACACATGTACTTCTTGTGTCAGGAATGGCCTGAAGCATCAGGGCACCCTGAATTATACTAGGTTGAAAACACCCCCCTTACAAGCGAAAGCCAATAAGCAAAGTCCGCACGTACGGGGAAAAGAGAGCGGGGAAAAGTAGAAGCCGTTTGTTCCCAGCGAGTCGGCAGCAGCTGGTACATCCCAAGGTCAGGAAAGCAAAAGCAGATAAAACTCAGACAGTAGACTTCGTTAGTGTAACTGGCAGAGGCAAGGTGGATTCCCCCCACACATTCTGGACAATAGCAGTGCTAACTGACGGGGGGGGGGGAATATCAGATTAGCTTTTTTTGTAAGGCCCTGAGATAACATCCTAATAATTAATAATTATCATATGGCATTCTGTGTGGAATCGCCAGGATTTCCCAGAAGAATGTGTAGCTGCTGAAGCTTTAGGTCTTTTTTGGCACCACTAGGTGGCATGCTATGCTTATATTTTAGGCTGACAGTGCTGTGACTTGCCTAAGGACACCCAGCTAACTTTAAGTGGAGAAGTGGGGAATTGAACCTGGTTCTCCAGATTACGGTCCGCTGCCCTTAACCACTACACCAAACTGACTCTCTGTCCTATTACTTTATTTATTTAAAATATTTATTTACTGTCTTTTTCTATTGCCTCTTTTCCTTGTGTTACTGTCTTTTCCAGTGAGTTGTATTCCCATAATGTGACCAAAGTATGATACCCTCAGGGGGCGATCACATGGGTAAGATAAAGTATGGGGGAAGTGAGGCTATTTCCTCCGGAGGAATTTGATCCATAGTTGTGCAATCACACGGAAACTGTGGGCGAGTCGGGTTCCCCCCCCCCGTTTGTTTCTGATGTGCTTACACGAGGAATTGAATCGCATCTCCGCACTGAGGTCTCCCTATGGAGTTTGCGGTGATGCGCATACTGAGAAGGGGGGGAAACAACCGCATGGAGTCGGGATGGCCTGATCAGACCATCCTGACGCCATGAGAGTGCGCTGGAATTATCAGACATGGAAAACTCCATCCATGGCCCTTCAAAATCCGCTTACTACTGGATTTTCCCTGGTGTCTTTTTACTCTGCTTCTGCAGCAGAGCAAAACGGGTTGTTGACGAGTGCGGGGTGCTTCCCAGATGTTTGTGTCTGATCACACTCTTTAAATCCGCCTGGCTTTCGCGTCTATGGTGGGACTAATTGTGTGTGTGATCGCGCCGTCTGTCTCATCATTTTAGCTTCTAGGGAGAGTTCAGACTTGATTTGATCTAGAACCCACTTATTTATCTTTTTGACAGTCTGTAGTATATGTAAAACTCTCCTCCAACATCACATTTCAAATTATTTAACTTTTCTTCCTGTAACCTTTCTTCATTGTCCAAGTTTCACATCCATACAACTTGATCTTGGTCACCAGTGACACATCCTTAAACTTAAGAATCTTTTCTTAATCTGTCATGGCTGTCCCAGTCACAATCACCTTCTGATTTCTTGGATGCAGTGTCCCTTTTGGTTGATGACAGAGGCAAGGAGTAGAAAATCTTTAATAATTTCTTCATTATCAACCTTAAAGTTGTGTAATTCCCCAGTACTCATAACTTTTGTCTTGATGTTCAGCTGCAATCCTACTTTGGCACTTTCTGTTTCAACCTTCATCAGCAGTTGTTTCAAGTCTTCACTATTTTCTGCCAGTAATGTGGAATCATCTGCATATCTCAGATTATTAATGTTCCTCCCACCGATTTTCACTCCACCTTCATCTAAATCTAAACCAATTTTTCCTTATGATAGATCTGCCTACAGATTGGATAGGGAAATAAAATACATCCTTGTCTGACATCTTTGCCAATTTTGTTTCTTTATATTCTATCCTAACACTAGCCTCTTGTCCAGAGTGCAGATTGCACATAAAAACAGTCAGATGGTGTGCCACACCCATTTCTTTTAAAACCAACCACAGCTTTTCATGATCCACACAATTAAAAGTTTAGCTGTAATCTGTGAAACACAAGCTGATTTTCTTCTGAAATTCTCTCATATACTCCATTAATCAAAATAAATTTGCAATATGATCTCTAGTGCCTCTTCCTTTTCAGAATCCAGTTTGTACATCTGACATTTCTCGTTCCATACACGGTAACAGTCTTTGTTGTAAGATTTTGTTGTAAGATTTCTGTTTCTTTTTCTGTCACCTT